CCTCTCAGCAAACTCCACAACGATGCTCTTTTAGACATCTGAGATCCTTTTGCTTGTATCATTTTTTTATCTTTTATGGTAACATGGTAACCAGCAGGGCAAAGATCAGTGGTTTCTCTTTGGTGTATTACACAAGATTAATGGCATTTATTTATTCATGATTTCAATCTTTATTGATATGTCTGATTTATTTTTAATGTAACTATAGTTACGTGGCTTAGAGCAGCTCCAAACAGCGTAATAAACTGGTTTTACTGACTCGCATTCTGTAATAATTGACGTAATTGTACCTGTTATCATCACAGTTACCGTAATTCTAGAGTCTATCTGACAGTGTCCTTTTTATCTTGCTGGAGTCTCTTACTAGAAATCATAACGCCAATAAAAAAAACAACCCCTAATTTCCCGAGGATCTATCTATCTATCTGAGATATGATATAGAGTTTTCCACGAAAAAAGAGTACTTGTTACAGTCATAGTAACATTCTTCACAGTAACATTCTTCTGTCTTAGTACTTTTCTCCCTGTTTTTCTCTTCCCGGTGTCTCCTCCTACTCCTCTCTCCGCCTCCTTGGGGTAAATTCCTCACGCAGGCTGCTGTTTTGAGAGAATTCCCCTTTTTATCACAGCGATGGTGGTATAGTGGTGAGCATAGCTGCCTTCCAAGCAGTTGACCCGGGTTCGATTCCCGGCCATCGCAAAGTCTTTCTTTTTAACCAAAGTTCTCCACTGACTTAGAGGTTTCTCCAGGTTTCCAGTAACACTTGAAGTAAAATGGAATTCAGCTAGGTCTAATAATTCTGAAGCCAAATCTTAAACTTTAAAATGTTTAATGTTTAAATGTTCGGCCTTTAATTTTTCTCTTTGGCAGTTAAACCAAATTAATTTAAAATACTGCCATTAGGTTTTGCCGTCTGCCTTGTATAGATAGCACTTGAAAAGAACAAAAAATCATTTAAATTTTTGTTCTAAGTTTTATGGTGTAACTTTTCAACACTAACCAAACGAACGCATAGAAATGGAAGATTGCTCAAATGCACAGTATCATTGCGAGGTATAATTGCAACACGTGGCTTCTTAAAGGTTCTCAAAGGCTATGTAAGTAGCGCGAATTATTTGCATTATTCTTATTTACTCGAGTTTACTATGGGTAGGTTGTGGTAAAAAATTATAGCAGTTTTGCTAGCTAAGAATAGCGAGCATGCGTTGTATCTTTAAATAAACTATCCTTCCTTTTTTTGTTAAAATGGTGTAATCTAAAAAACCGGCTGCGATTTATAAAAGTCCTACCTGGGAGCGGAAATAGGACAAAACCTTAACAACCTCAGATAAAATAAACACCCACCCGTAAGTCCGGTTGTTTACGGTTCTTGTAACCAAGAGACAGGTCTTCCTCTCTTTACTTAAACGAACCATGTGTAACAGAAGACTAGTCTGCCCCCCATCGTCCGTAGAGAACATTACACATAGACCATAAATAAAAGTCGACGCTGCTTCACCTCACTCTGGTTTAAAAAACGTACATGCCGTCATCGTTATAGTGGCGTTAACGTACAACTACTTTTTCAAATTGATTTTGTTTGTATTTATGTTCTTGACAATATTTTTATTTATACCTCATAGTATTCGTGTAATCCGTTTACCAGGGCACGGACCCAGGGTATTAGCCACAGGTTGTGATGCTAGCTAACCGTGGACATATGGAGTAGCTGTTTAAAAGCGCTTTTAACATGTGTTTTTACAAATCACTTGTTTGTGCTGGGAGTAACATTTTCGTCGAATTATCTTAAGTGGGGATAATAAAAATATATGAAGGCTGACACTGTGTGCAACACTTATTATCATGATTTTTCGTGATATTGTAACCGTGGGGATGTAGCTCAGTGGTAGAGCGCATGCTTTGCATGTATGAGGCCCCGGGTTCAATCCCCGGCATCTCCAGATTTTTTTTTTGTGAGTTGCCATTTTTTCCAGAGTAAGACTAAAATTCCCTTTAAATTTGAGCTCTGTTCTAAACAAAACTATCGAATTTAGGGATTTGTAAATTGGTTAATTCATGCAAATATACCTCTGTAGAGGTTGAGATTCCTTCCGTTGGCATATATGCAGGAAGCATTTTATTGAAAACAACTACTGCTAAAATGGGTGAATTAATCAATTAGCAAACACAACAATGACTATGAAATTAGACTTGCATGGCTTAATCTTTGAGACAAGCATACGCTACTGGCAGGATCAACCAGGTAGCCTCCCCAGAGCTGCACTCGGCTGCGAAAAGGAATATGTGGTTAATGTTAAAGCCATTTTATCTACATAGTACATACAATTTAAAAATACTTTTCTAATACCAGATATCAACAGAAAGACATTTTAGAAATGTCTTTTCCCAAATTACTGAAATGCAGCAGAAGTTTGCAGTCTATTGGGAAACTCTTATCATCTTAATCAGACTTTATTTTGTACTTAATGGATCTTCCATTTATTCAGGTTCATCTCACATCTGGACCAAACACAGAAAGTGATGCTGCTGCTACATGGCTAACAGCAGCTCCAGTCAGGAAGAAATATAAGTTTTATTGACTTACAGTCTGTAACAAGTGAGAATAATAGAAAAAATAAAAAAATAAAAAACATAGAGATATGATATACTGTTAAGTTTTACAAGAGGAAACAGCACTTGTTCTGTCTTAGTGCTTTTCTCCCTTTTCTCTTCCCGGTGTCTCCTTCTACTCCTCCCTCCGCCTCCTTGGAGTAAATTCCTCACACAGGCTCCTATTTTTAGAGAATTCCCAGTTTTCTCACAGCGATGGTGGTATAGTGGTGAGCATAGCTGCCTTCCAAGCAGTTGACCCGGGTTCGATTCCCGGCCATCGCAAAGTCTTTCTTTTTAACCAAAGTTCTCCACTGACTTAGAGAATTCTCCAGGTTTCCAGTAACACTTGAAGTAAAATGGAATTATTTTGCAGATGATTAAGTTTACATTCTTACCCCATAGGACAGATGGCGTAAGAGAAGTGTTTGAGAATAACAACAACATCTGCTTTATACGTCACCATAAGTTAAATTCAGGATATAATACAACCCAGGAATCTCCCAGATGCAGATTTGACTTTAGTTTTTACTTCATATGTTACATATGGCAAAGGAAATGGATATATAAAAATGAGATGCAGTGTGCTTGAGAGAGAATGAGAGAGAGAAAGAGAAAGAGAGAGGGGGCAGGGAGAGGGAGAGAGAGAGAAAGATAGAGAGAGAGAGAGCCTTGGTGGAATTGTACTTATTTCAAGAAAGTGACATATAGCACAGAACATATACATATGTTTATATGAATGTGTATAATTCATAATGCTAATACTAATATAATATATACTATATACTAATATATAATATATAGGTAAAATTCATATATGTATAATACACATTTACCCTATTTACATGTATTAATAAAATCATAAATGTATCCTTGTATTAATAACACTATGTTTTATATTTAGATGTTAACATTATATATCATCATTCCAGTTTATTCAGGAATCCTGCTTATGTTTTTGCTGTCTGCTGACCGGTCCAAGATGGCGGCCGTATTTCTCGCACGGGATCCGCCAACGTGTCAATGTTTACGTCCACTGAGCTTTTCATGACATCGCCTAAAAAAACGTTCACACTAGAAATAGAGACTCTACTAAAACTTAGAAACTGGTTTCAGCAAAAGAGAACAATATATTCCACAGCTACACAAAAACCAATATCGAATGCGTTGCTGGTTTAATTAAGAAAAACATTATAGTGCATGATGACATAATCACCCAGACATCTGAAAACAAGCTTTAGAGTTTGGTGGATGTACGACACCAAGAAGTTGAAGCCTTCTATTTCTACCAGCAGATGGTAGTATAAGCGCATATTGGACTTGAATATTTGGAGAGAAGACGCAACGATGAACTTCCGTGAAATCAGAGGAACTCCCCCATTTACATGTGACGCATTTAAGAAAAGGAAGTGCAGGCCTGAACTTTGGTTGTGTGAAACGCTTTTCGTATTCGAATTCCTATTAACTAATTAGTTAAGCTACTGTCCTTACCGACTGACTAATGTACAGTCGGTGCAAGTCGTTCACTATTCACTTGCAGATGAAACAGGAAATTACGAAATATTTTACGGTCAGGAGAAGCGTGATATTTTTTAAAAACTACATCACTACTTAAATTCAAACTTTTGTTAATTTCTGGCAAATGACCGACACTTTAGAGTAAAATTATTCAAAGTTTTTATTCGTTGAAAATTCTTGACAGTTCCTTGTACATTACCAATATATTTATTGTATGTGTGGCTGTGACAGCATTACTGTAATTAAGAGCAGTAAACCACACTCACCAGCCTCAAATACGAATAATTGGTTCAGAGAACTGTTTGCATACGTCAAAGGGCCCATGTAAATGTATTAATAATAACTGTATTTTTTTATTGTAATATATTCGGGTGCTTATTTTGTAAATCCCTTATGAAAGACAGACATGGACACAACGTGGATGGCACTCCGGCTTTAATCCTAACGTAATTTAACGTACTTACGTACGCAACCAACAGGTATCAAGGTAATATTACGTCATTATAATTACCATGAACTCACCATGAAAACTATGCGTAATATGTGAACCAGTCAGCTTGAACTAGTATTTTTTTTTTAGTTTTTTTAGTTAGTTAGTTAGTTTGTTTTAAATAGTATTTAATAGTACAAGTATTGTTATCAACCAAATATGAAGCATGTAAGCTATTTTATGGGCTTTTCATAACATAATTATGTGAAAGTACCACGAAATAACGTGAAAGATATCACATCATTACATGATACTGAGACAATTGTTTTTCTCAGTGTGGCAGCAATACTCTTTCCGTAGGTATGTGTAAAATGAAAGTATATTGATAATAATTAACTACATATAATCACCTCGATATGAAATTAAAAAAAAATTCATATTATCAAGAATGTACGAACAATGTTCACTGAAATATTTTATTGCTGAGACATTTTCAAACTCAAGCGTTCAAATCTGCACATACATTTTGTTAAAGCAACATTTGCATAGCAATATGATAGTGATATTCCACAGGAATAAACAAGATAAAGTCCAAGTAGAACTACGTTGGCTATGTTCTTTTAACAAGCGGCTTACAATGCGAATGCAACTATGCACTCTTTCTGATCGTCTTCGATTTTGGACTATCAGAAAACAGCATACATTTTAATAATGACAGTGTAAATTAGCACACTTTATAAAAGCATTCACAGATAATGGTAACAATAATTAATGCTTAAAAAAAAAATCCCCAATGTATTTAATTTCACCACTGTCCCGCAGTGGCAGAATAAAGAGACAAAAAGGCAATGATTACTTGATATGTGACATTTCAGCCATATTCTGCAGTGGGAGGTCCTGTCACTAGTTTACCATAGCCTGACAAGGCTCCCAGGTCAATGTACAAAGAGCCCTTTCTTCTCATGTAGCCCGAGCCCTCCGAGTACAGAGATAATTCTGAGGAGAAAAACAAAAAAATACAAAAGCGTGTTATTTTAAGATTAATCAATACAGTACAAGTCAGTTTCTGTGATCAGCTAGCTAGTCTTTACCCTCTGTGGTGTCATGCTGCTGACTCTGTTGTCGTAAAATGGCCTGGTTAGCCTCTTCCAGCGCTGAGTCGAGGCTCCAGCAGCGCGGCTGATCCTCCCTTGAAGGGTTGATAGCCTGATCCTTCAGCAGCTCAGATGCTGTGCTCCGCAGAGCTGGGTTCCTCTCCATGGCTCGTTCCAGGAAGGAACGCATGGCCAGGCTGCAGTCCTCTGCAACGTCCTCCATGGGTGGTGCCTGTTTGTGGATCTGTTGGGAGAAAAGCCAGGCAAAACTGTTTAAAACTAAAGCAAATTTCAGACCCACAGATATGAAATCCAAACAGAAAAGTTGGCAAGGAAGACACAATTGATTGCAATTGAATGAATAAAACCTTTTTAAAACCTTTTTAATCCACACAAAAAGTGTGGATTAAAAATAGAAAAGCGGTGCAAGCTCTGTACGCAAGTATACCATGTGACACAGCTTCGAAATGACAGAGGAAGTGAGTGACTTAAAACACATAAAAGCTGACACACGGAATGTCTCGAAAGCAAAGCACCACGAAATGGAAACCATTTATGGAAAGAGAGGTTTTGATCAAACTATACAGATCAATATTCACCTACTAATTTCATCATTTTCATTTTTCAACGATTACTGCATTTTACGTGTTGTAGGGTTCTGGACAAAACAATAAAAATAACTTAAAAGTTTATTTAAATTTTTTTTTTCTATGTTTCCTCTAATTTTCTGAGGCTCCCCTAATGCCCCCCACTGTCAAGCTGCATGGTTATGATTAAAATCCATCAACTTTATGAAACATAATTTGGATTTATGCTTTTGCATATATCTGCCTGCTCTTATTTGTCTTTTTGTTTTCCACGATATGCCGAATTTTGTTTGGCTCATATTTAGGAATGTTGATTTATCTTGATTAATCATTACTAATCATCATAGAGTATGAATGTGATTAATCATGACTAATACACAACTACCCTGTGATTCATTTGAATAAATTATGATGGTGTGACAGCCCTAGGAAAAATATAAATCACAAAAAATAGAACAGAAAAAAAAAACTCCATAGAATGTATCCTCTGAAGTACAGCACTGATTGGCACATTGTCTTCTAATGTACAGTACTTACAATATATAGGTAGGATGGGTAGGCGGTGCGTGGGTATCTGCGGACCCAAGGGGGGCTGCCTGTCTGCATGTGAATGATGGTGGTGCCCATGGCGTATATATCCGTCTTGGTGTTATGTCCTCGACACAGAACCACTTCCGGACTCATATACATCTACACAAAAGAACGATGGCATTAAAATAAATACAAAAAAATGGCTGAAAAAAACCGAATAGCATACAAAAAAACATGTCCTGTAACAACTTTTTATCTGTCTGTCAGGATAAGGTCAGTACCTTGACCTTTTGAATGAGTAGAGCAAACACTCTATTATCAGAATCCTTCATTCTCTCAGTGGGAAACTCCAGCTTGCTTTCCCATGTTGTACTAACTTTGCCTGCACAGCTGGGAATTTCCACCACCCGGCCATTAGAGTTCATGATGTATGTACAGAAGTAACACAAAGTAAAAAACTAAAATAAAAACACATGGGAAAACAGTCGAGTTGTTGGATTTTTTGCAATAGCACGTGCTACCTATTGAAAGCAGCCCTTCGAGGTCACCAAGTTAACTGACTGCTCTGATTACTTTACTGAACATCAATATACATTACAGGAAGGGGAAAAAAATGCTGGACTAGTGCTGACAAGCTAAAGACAAACGTATCAAAAGTCAGGGGGAAGTCATTTCCTGGGTCAGTAGCCCATAAATGCTGCTCTCTCTGGTACACACACACATACGCACATAGAACTTGATGAAAAAGTATTAGTATCTGTTCTAACAACATACACACACGAACGCTTAGAACACACTGCCTCACCTCTGTTCCTCTCAGGTCTCTGGGAATGTAAATATCCTCTGTCATTTGCACCGCCAGGCCAAAGTCCACCAGCACTGCCTTATTGGACATTAGGACTATGTTACTAGCTGGTAAGGAAAAAAAAATAGAAACATTAGCGCACGTGAGAAATTGACATTTACATCTATTTGTTTTTATTGCTTTGTCATTAAGAAGATACTGGTACGTGAGCTAAAAAAAACTGGAAAAACCCTGCACGTCTCCTAAGAACTGATGAGTCATGTTGCTTTAACAGAGTAATTTGTGTCAACTATTCAAACCATGAGGTATTAAACTCTGTTGTAGTTAACAGATTGATTTTCCAATTCACTAATGCAGTGATCCAGTCGTCGGAATCAACAAAGCTACTGTAAGATCACACCCCTCCACTCCCCCTGACTTGTTGCCATTCTCCTGCTCACCCATGATATTGGAATCTTGGCTCAGGCTTAATTACACATAATGCACATAGACTGGAAACAGTAACAACCATGTCAGAAAACCTAAGTCTAACCACTGTCCACAAGTCACTTTCTGATCTGGAACTAGCATTTTAACCCTGCAGTAGCATGAAAAGCAGACTGGAATTTCCAGCTGCAAACAGCCTGGAGTGAATGTGGCTGACAGACAAATTGGAAGAATGCTTTGAACCTCGCATTTACTGCGTGGTCCAGCTCTTTTATTTGAAGCCTCAGCTGAACCCAACCCCCCTCCTGTCTGTATCATCCCTGTGTCTTCTTCTAATCTTAGTCATTATTTCCTCAGTTGTTTGACAGTGTGGGCATCTACCTTTGAAAGTTTTCCCTAGAATCATTAGTCAAGGTTTTAGTGTAGGAAACTATTCGCTACGGCCAGGACGTCACATCGTCCCTACGTGCTTCTGTGGAGGGGAGAGGGGAGGGGGGAGTTTCTTGCTTTATCTTCAGCTGATCATGCTACGTGTGTCTGTGGCTTTCTTTTTTTCCTCCCACTTAACCCTTACGTAAGAACTACAACAGCCAGCGAATGAGAGGTGTGAAAGAAAAACAAATTCTCGTCTTTTACTCTTACGTTTGATGTCGTGGTGGATGACGTTATGCGAATGCAGGTACTGCAGGCCACGCAATATTTGCTTGGTCACCCAAATTATTTCAAATTCCCTCATGGGCCCGCAGCTGTCTAGCTTCTCCAGGACGGAGCCACCTTCTCCGGCCTCCATGAAGAGATGCACATTCTGGTCCCAGAGCAAAGCGCCGTAGAGCTCAGCAATGTTCTCGTGTCGGAACCGGGCCTGGAACTCCACATCGGCAGCTCTGAAGTTCTCCACTGGAACCTGGGAACAGATGACGTATTTTAAACTGCAGTTGTCAAGTTAAACATTTACCCATCACCTCAATATCCTTTGGATTTGGGATTCCCAAAGTGGGGTGCACATGCTGCCACTAGGGGGTGCACACGATAAAAAGCTTGTTGCTTTTTTTTTTTTTCCAAAGGTGTGGGAAATTGGGGGTGTGTCAACCTAGTTGGGATACAAAATGGGTGCGCGGCCCAGAAGAAATTTGGGAACTACTGCTTTGGTTGTTATATTTTAGCACATAGAAGTTAAACATGCAATACTGGAATGCTTATTAGTCTATTTTACGGTTATTTACAAAATAATTCTTGAAAAAAACTACTATTAAAACTCCTTTACGTCACACTTTTTTTTCAAAAAAAAGATCAAAAACAAAACATCTGATTTAAAAGGTTTGCTAATACAAGCCTCTCATTGGCAGCTACAAGCAAATCGGAAGCAGTCTGTTTTCCTCTCTATTATTACTGTGTAATAATGTTGACACAGTGCTCTGACGTCAGCACATTCATAGCATGTACCAATATCTTCTACCTGCAATTTTAGTTTAACCAATTTCAAACTTTAAGAAGAGCTGTCTTCTTAAGGTTAAATTTCCGTTCTTGCCCCGTTTGGATATCCTTTTGCAGTGCTTCTCCTTTTCGAGAACATTCTTCCCCTTTTGGTGTCACAGTACAGACAACACACTAAATGTCACGCTGACATCAGGAGTCAGTGAGCGGAAAGAGACGAATGGCTAGTTTGCGAACAAACAGTTCCTGGCAAGTTAAATATTTGGCAACAAGGCCAGGGTGTCTGAGATGGATTCCACGCATTGCTCGGCGGCGCTTACCAGCTTGCAAGCCATTCTCTTCCTGGTAGCAGTGTCCTGAGCCAAGTGGACCTTCCCAAATGAACCCTTGGGCACGAGGCCAGAACCAGGAGCCTTATATGTCAATTTCCAAGGGAACAGCACAACATCCATATTGATCTGGTAACGACCGTTTTTCACAGCCATGTCCTCCTGTAGTGCAAATAAAAGCAACGTTAAGTCAGCTCAGTTTTGACCACGCACCTAAAATGACACAACATTATACCGCATTGTTGAGGGTGTTGCAAAACAGCCTCACCTTCCTCCGGCTCTCTAGGCAGTTTCTGCAGGGCCGCTCCCTGCATGTTGGACAACAGGTTGACAAAAGACAGGAGGTCTTTCACTGTTCCGTATCGGACACAACCGGCGCCGTCGGAAAAATCCTTCAGCTCACTGCTCGTGCCTACCGCCTCCAGATTCTCATCCCTCTCCTCCTGGGAGAGTCCTTCCTCTTCCATGGACAAGCCCCCTTCTTCGGCCTCCTCTTCCTCCTCAAGCTGATACAGTGTCTCGGCAGCAGTGATAATGTCCTCTATGTTCATGTGAGCCAAAAGGAGTTCTATTCCATCATTAAATTTGTAATCCATCTCGACGTGTTGCCTCCCCTCTAAATCTAAAACAAAGTGGACACACAGTATACTGACATTTCTATGGTCCACGGGCGAAAACTTTCAAGAGAGTCAGTCATTTTAAGTGTCATTAATCTCAACCGGAATAACAGGTCACGCAGCACAGAATGACACTTCACTGAAACATGTGCAGCTTTTCTTCCACAGGCTAGAAATACAGCTAGGAGGGGCTTAGGTGACTGTTTACCTCGAAGAGAGGGGGAGTTTCACATTGAAGCCGGGAAGCCCCTTCAGAGAATTTTAGCGTTGTTTTCCATTTATGCAACACACTTTAAAGCGTTTTCTTTCGCTTCATAGTCAATGAAAAAAAATGAAAGCGTCGAAAATAAGATAAACACCAACATTTTCGCTATTTTCCATTTACAACGTTAAGAGTGGTGTCAACAAAATGTTCTATACAAACAGTGACGCTAATAAAAATCTATGTAATGGCTTTCTATGTTTACTGTGATACGTCCGAATGTGAGTTTAAAGACATTTATTTAAAAAAGAAAATCAATTTAAGCACTTACCATCAATCAATAGCTTCGCCCCAGTGTCGCATCTTCATTGTACATCTGTATCCAGCTGTGACAGAGAAGTCGACGCGTGTTTAGCAGGAAGTGACCGCAGGAAGTGAGGTCGAGCAGCGCAGGGGGGTGAGGAGAAACTGAACGTCAAGTGACAGCAGCACTCCTTTGCTCAGTCGGGCTTTCGTTTCCCCCCCTTCGCTCTGTTTCGACTGGTAGAGGTAACTCCTTCACTGGCTCGAGTTTAAAGAAAACTGGTCAAGTATTCTGAAGAAAACGATGAGTGTTTGGCTCTGCAGCTTTTCCGGCGTACGCCATGACCCCGATTTACTGGAAACCGTGCGTCACGTGTAGATCTGAGAAATCTTTAAAAGAAAAGTGTTATTTAAAGGCGTCACTGTCCGATCTCTAGTAAATATAAAAACAAAAGGGATCCCTGTGTTGCACACATTATCACAAAAGCTGTTTTTAGTATCTTCACGATAGTAAAGCGACCAATGTAATAGAGTAATAATAATAGTGATGCATTAGTGATGTGTTATTCACTACATTTTTTTATAATGAAATATTTCTTTATTAATAAATTATAAATTAATTTTCGCTGTTATATTATTATTATTGTTCTTATTATTTTTGGAGCTACTATTCAAATGACCAGACATTTGAATATATATATATATATATTTTTCACAGGTTTCAAAGACTTTATTGTAATTTCAACGAACATTAAAAACATGATGTGGAACGAAATTTGTTACTCTGGTCCCCGTGCATGCCCAATAAGAAAACACACAAAATACAATACGTATAAGGGAAATATAAATATAAATATGGATTAATCAATTGTAAGAAAACTTGAAATAGACAGCAGCAGTGTAACATTAGAATAAATGAAATGACAAAAATAATAATTGAATGATGAAATGAACTGACAATACAATAATACAATAATAATAAAAGAATGAGCAAAACCACATGGTCACTACAACACACTTTCAAATTATATTAATATTTATTTTAGTCGCTCATGATCTGTCCTCACTCGCTCTGCGATCTAATGGTAGATTCATATCTGCTTATAAAGGAATGAGCAAAACCACATGGTCACAACACACTAATATTTATTTTAATCGCTCATGATCTGTCCTCACTCGCTCTGCGATCTAATGGTAGATTCATATCTGCTTATACTGCAATCCCTGGTCTATAACAAACCATTTCTATTGTTATGCTGCTCATTTTTTTATGTCCTGCTTTGGATGTCTTTTTGCTTTGAGAATAATACGAGAAAATGCCTAGAGGAGGCTGCACAGTGTGCCTCGTGGGATAACATATGAAAGCGTGACTGAAAAGGCAAATGAAGAGAACCAAAAGCTCATTCTAAAATTTCTGGGTCACGGGCAGGGCTGCGTGGCCTCAGGTGGCTATGCCTGGCTCTGCAGTGCAGCTAGAAGCTTTTTGGCATTATGTAAGAGCCCCCTCTCCCCTCTCTCCTCCTCCCCGACTCCCCCTTCCGTAGCTGCCCCCCAGAGGCATGACAGCTGCAATGAATACAGGTCAAAACCACATTTAATTTAATTTCTCCAAAATGCCTAAACATTTTTTTTATTATTATTTTTATTTTTAGTATACATTATTACTGTTCACTTTTGTTCTCTGCATCACACAACAATATACTTAATTAAATTAAATTATTTAATTGTAATCCATATGTATATATCACATGAAACAGAATACACCAGGGTGACACACAATGACTGTCATATAATAACTATTATTAATTTATATTTATTTTTGTAGCGCGTTTTGCTCTCGTATGAGCGTGACAGCGCTAGAGCCTCTCGCTTGCCGTATACCAAGTACTGCGCATGCGTGTTTTGGCTTCATCGAAATAACTATGGCGTCCTCCATTGCGGTATGCAGGGTACATATGAGCCTGCTTAATAAACTTCACAAGATTGAAACGTTGCTCTGCAGGGGTGTCAAAACACAGCACACTGCTGCTGCTGCTCAGATGAAAACGGTTAATAAAGTAAAACATGGTTAGTATATATCTTTAACTAATAAGAACGATAACTTAGCCAACGTGCTAATTCTGATACACGCCGCTAGTGGCTATATAGTAGCTTCAACGTCATTCAGATATCTTTCATTATTTTTCTTTTATGTGCCTATTTTTGCTGTTACAGAAAATTGTCGCAACATTTCAGTGGTCTGTGAATTTCAACTGTGCTACTCTTCTACCTGAATTTTATGTTTTTAAAGATAGAAATTAAATTAGTTTCTACTTCTGTCTGTTTTGCCGATAGTAGTGATTTTACATTTATTTGAGGTCCCGAGGGTTTATTAGTGATTTATTACTGTGTCACATTTAAGCTTAACTTTTTTTTAATTTACCATTACCATCATATGATTTACCAACTGCTTGTCAATATATGGTCATAATACAACCCGATATGATTACAATGTTATGTTTTTTTTCTCTTTCTTTTCAGATGAGAAGGAAAAGGAAGGAGGAAAGTCACTGTACGACGTTCAGGTGGAGAGACAACAGCAAGCAGAGCGATCTGTTCTTATCAGTTGCCCCTCCAGAACCAATAAAGAAAGGTTCCTCAAGCATCTATTAAAATATGGAGATATCAAGACACACTTCTTCTATGAAAGTATTGTAAGTAAACTTGTTGTATGCTGTACTTACAATAACTATTTATTATTACTAACAAACTACTTTCATGCCAGAATTTATTTCTAAGTTAAAACACTGTGTATTACTGTTTATTTTGTTCCAGGGCGTGTATGCTGTTGTCGAGTTTTCCAGCAAGGAAGGCGTTGCATCGATACTAGAAAGGGCTTCCATCCCAAGTGTTTCCCATGAGTCAATGGTGCCTTTTAAATCGAGAGTACTTTCCCTGAGGAACCTAGACAAAATATCTAACCAGCAGTCAAGCATACAACTCCAGCCGCAATCCTCTGCGTCCACCAATGAGCTCATACAGAGACTGTCCAGAGAAAAGAGTGTAAGGGGGAGCATTGCACCATGAAATGCAAAGCTAACGCTAATGCTTTGACTGTATAAAAACCCTAAGTACGTATCAGTTATGTGAACCATCAACTGTTACTTCCTATGCTCTCAGTTTGACCAACAGATCACCTCTCTGGCAGAATCCTATCAGCTCACAGAGGAGAACACCAGGCTGCGATTTCTTGTCTGCTCTCTGCTTAAGGATGTCGCGGCTCCTTTTTTCCCAGAATGCACCATCAAGCCTTTCGGCTCCTCTGTGAACGGGTTTGGGAAGATGGGCTGTGACCTGGACATGTTTTTGGATCTAGATGGTATCAGTGGAAGAAAAGTAAAACAGGTAATTTTTGGCATAGTATGTTTTGAGAATTTGGGGGCATTTTTAACGAAGAAATTGAAGGGGTTGATGTACATATGTCATTGAAATTTCAGATTGAAATACCAAATGTTTGTTTATATTTCCCTTACATTACGCAGTGGGATTGTTACAGCACAGATATATTTGTGACTGAAAACAACAGAGCTTGTACGCCATCATCCAGGAGAGTTGTGTGTCCTAAACAAAGAAGTGCAAATATTAAAGCATCTGAGTCTTTGTCACAACCCTTTTCCAGTGAAATAACACATTTTAATCCCAATATTTGATTTTGTATTAGGAGCATAGAATACTTGTCGTCATCATTGATAATCTTCTAATGCTATACACATGTAGTAATTATTCAACAGTGAATAAAAGTAAGAAAATACATTCTAACAGTAGATGTTTCTTCACATATTTTCTAGCGTTGTCTGTCGGTTTGCAATAGGGGGTTCACGGCCAGAAGCTAATACTGTTTGTTTGAATTTTGGGAAGCCCTGATGTAATGCAGGATTTTTAGATTGAAAAAAAACTTTTGAAACTTTTTTTTTCCACAGCCTAAATTAGGTCTTTCCCTCGAGTACCAGATGAAGATGGTGAACACTGAGCGCCGCGTCACCCAGAGCATTTTGTCTGTCATTGGAGAGTGTTTGATCCAGTTTGGGCCTGGCTGCGAAGGGGTGCAGAAAATCCTCAATGCCCGATGCCCTCTAGTCCGTTTCAACCATCAACCGTCTGGTCTTCAGTGTGACCTCACAGCCAACAACAGGTATTTCACTGAACTCACTGATACTTTTACACTGTGTTAAAATGCGACATGGATTTTCTTGTTTGCCAAAAAAAACCCAGTTTTCCCCAATGCCACTGCAAATCGCAAAACACCCGAACAGAAACTGAACCCTCGAACTGACGTGCTGCAACGGCTGCTGCCCAACAGTAATTTCAAAGGAGCACCGCAGAGTAGGCTTGTTTGCATTTCACTTCCTTCTATTCAAACCTAAAACAGTCTGTGGTCTACTGATGGTAACGCAAGTCTGTACACAGCTGCTAACGTACAGAAAACCACCACAGTTTCTGAGAAAATTGTTGTGGGTGCGATGTGCGTGTGTGGCAAGGGAAGGGGTGGGTGGCTCCTTTGGTGATCTGAGGTTATTGAAGCTCAACACTTGCCAGTTTCTGTTTGAGGATAGTAGAGAGGAAGTAAGAGAGCTGAACTCTTGAGAGTGAGTCACATGTTGCTGAAGATCGCTCTCTGCTGGTTATTATTGTATGTTTCGTTTAACTCAACTCAACTCAACTCCAACGAAACTTACAGTAATGTTGAGCAATTTCACCAAAGGCATGTTTTTGCACTGAAAAGTACCAGAGCCGTATTTGTAACCCAGTGGCCTTTGTACGTTCTTACATGGAAAGGCCCTAATACTATGTTGTAATATCTTGACTTTAGTTCAAGTGGCTGACCACTAATGTTATAATACCACATCAATAAAAATCAGTCTTCTCATTTGTCGTCAACGACACAAAGATTGAACTAAAAACACAATCTAATTCAATCTTAGTATTTTTTTTAACCTTTACCTGGACCAGAGACCTATGGGAAAAAGTTAGCATACATGTTTAATAATGTCACCATCAATCAATATCTCGCTTAAGTTATTATAGAGGAAACTTGCCAAATGAAGGGCAAAAAGCTCCCAAAAAAACATCTAAAAAGAAAGAGAGAATGTAGCACAAACGGTGAATGTAAACAAAGTCATCTTCGACATGTAGCACTGCGTGCTGACATATTCGTCCGCTCTGCATTTAAAAATCCATCGTAAAAATTCCTAAAAAAAAATGGAGTACAGTGGAACCTCGGTTGTCCAACGTCTCCGTTTTTGAAGAAATCGGTTGTCGAACAAAAATTCGGAACTAAAAATTGTCCCGTTTGTTGTACCATAACTCGGTTACTGATCTGGCTTTACAGTATGGCTTAGCAAAGTTGTCGATTTTTGTACCATCATTAAGAACAAGGAAGCAATAAAAGAAGCTAAGGTTGCCAAAGAAGTGACTGTGATCACAAAGCAAAGATCTCAGACATTAGAAGAAGTGGAAAAGTTGCTACTGATTTGGATAAACTAAAAGCAGTTGGTCGACATCGGTATTTCAAAGTTCGAAAACTGAGGTTCCACTGTATCAGCTTCCAATGTGTTCCGCAGGGTGGCGATGAAGAGCACAGAGTTGCTACATCTCTACAGTGAGCTGGATCCACGTGTGCGCCAGCTCGTGTTCACCGTGCGCTGCTGGGCCAGAACGCATGGAATCACCAGTAAAATACCGGGGGCGTGGATCACTAACTTCTCCCTTACAATGATGGTGCTGTTCTTCCTGCAGAAGAGGAGCCCACCCATCATCCCTACACTGGACCAGCTCAGAGACCTTGCAGGTACTGCCTGACACAATTATTTACTTTGGCATCACAAAAATCAGGGGCTGTGCTGGAGGGTCTTCAGCCTTGTGTTTTTGCACCTGCTATTATCGGTATCGGTAAATTTTTAAAAGTTCGTAAAAGCAGATCATTATTTCTCCTTTTACATACATAAGCCATACATATACAGCAACAAGTACACGAAAAGTGTAAGAATCCCAAATAATAATAAAAATAAATAATAAGTTGTTAGCATTAAAGCTTTTTGAGAGTTAACCTTTTGCCGATACCCGATATGCTGATATTGTCCAAACACTTAATTTCCGATTCCGATATTTGCAGCTGTTTGGGTAAAACGTTTGGGTAAAAAGGTAAAAAAAAAAAAATTTGGGTAAAAAGGCAAAGGACGAATTTCATTGTGTGCAGTGGTGTGCTGTGTCACAATGACAATAAATCACTTTCACTTCAAAACTATTTCAAAGTCACATCATCTGGGTTAATCCCAGGCACCATGTTATAAACAGATAATGATTCTTAGCAAAATTAGCTAGTGATGCTAATATTGCCATCGCTAGTTAATGATTTAATAGTTCGGTTTAGGTATCATGTCAGATGGGCTGTAGTTGGGGTTTTTTTTTTCTGTGTTCGATTCTAAAAGTTTGATCAATATCTGACTGATACTGATCCTGAGTATTGGATTGAGCCACGTCTAGTATGGGTATCTTTCGGATACTTTCGGAGCTGCGTGTTCGTTATAGTATAACCATCCACACCACGGCTTGGCTGTGAGTCTGCTTGAGCTCCTCCCTTACCCTGTGACTCTTCCTTCCCTTCCTCTTTCTTACCCTGACTGGCTGATAATTGCCTTCCACAACCAATCGACCCTATGCTCCTCTCTGCACCGCCCACCCCCTCCCTCTTTGGCTGACCATTTAGTAGGGATTCTATAACACAGAGAGCTTACAGGACACTCAGTGAAGGTTGGTGTCTCTGTTCCTCCCAGGCTGAAAGGACTGGGAGGAATATGAAATATGAAAGGACTATGAAATATATATAAATATATATATGAAATATGAAAGGACTATGAAATATATATAAATATAAAGTAAATATATAAAATATAGATAAATATATATATAAATATATATATATAAAATTTATATAAATATAAATATTTATATTTTATATAAATATACAGGAAATATGAAAGGACTGGGAGGACACTGAAAAGACTATGCCTGTGATGATGACAAATTTCCGCGGGACAATATAATGTCCCACAAATTATCGCTGATAAACAATATTAGGGTTAGGGTTAGTGGTGGCATGGTGATTAAGGAAGCAGACTTCAGAGTCCCGAATGTTTCAGGTTCAGATCCACAAACTGCCAAGTTACCACTGAGGTGCACTTAGCATGGCATCCCCACACTGCACCCCGGGCGATTGAGCTGCCCCCTGCTGGTGATGGGTAAAACAGAGGTCCAGATTAAGTGTGAGACCAGATTAACCACAAATGTAATGATAACATATCATAGTACAAATGCAAGTACAAAAATACAAGTACTTTCAAATGCAGTAAACCTTTATTTCTCATGAGTATTTTTTTTTAAGATTCTTAGATTTCCGATGTACATACATATAGGTCGATAAATGCCCCTCCTTTTTCCTGTGGATACCGTTGAGATATACACAGTATATATTTCGCGATGTGGCAAATGACGCCACACCACCACACCATTTTACGCTGTTCCATGTATAATGTGGATGACTGACAAGAGGGGTCACTTTGCTCATTTCGCTGTGGAACAAACGTGCCCACGTGCTGAGACCGATGCACAGAGTGAACCCTTTTGTCATGCAGCCAGTTTGGAGGTGAAAGTGGAAAGTAAACAAACACATGGAAATATATTGAGGCCGGCAAAATTATTGACATAATTTTCTTTTATTGTGCAATCAATGGATTTATTGATTATTGTCCCAGGCCTAACAAGGACACTGGTGGACACCTGAACCACCAGGGCAATTTTATATCAACGATATTGATATTCTGTGTCTATGCATTGCTTTTCCCTCCCTCCCCTCTCTGTCTCGCTCCATGAATGAGCACTACCATCAATTTATGTCTTGTTTACGGCAAGGGGCGTGCACGTACAGTCGTTTCATTTGTTTCTACACTTCCGTTCCAAAAGATCCCGAGGACAAATGTAATATTGAAGGAAATGACTGCACGTTCGTCAGCATCCCCAGCAAGATCCAGCTCAAGGGGAACACAGAAACGATGGGTAAGCACAACCGAATGACTGCAGTTTTGCGATCAACCCAACACATGTTAACGCAACATGCGTTTTCCTTATTTCAGAGAATCTGCTAGGTGAATTCTTTGAGTTCTACGGCACGTTTTCTTATACCAACATGTCCATAAACATCAGGAAGGTATGTGTTACTTTTACGTATAGCCGTATTCAATTGTAGCAGTTGAACGGTGTTGACTTTTTATGTGCTTTTAAGATTAATAATGTCTGCGCTCGGTTCCTAGTGGCAACCTGAATATTTGCCGTAAGTCGGAACTTGCAAATAATTACATATCACAAAACAAAATAAATATATGTTTATCTAAATAAATATATACAGTATGTGTGTGTGTATGGGTACTTATGTGTGTATATATGTATATATATATTTTTTACACACAGATATATACATACATATATGTATATCTGCGTGTAAAAAAATAACTAAATATATATATATATACAGTATATCTAAATATACGTGTGTGTAGAGGAGTGACGGTACTTATATATGTATATATGTATAAATATATATATATTTTACACTGTGTATTTATGTATATATTTTTTTTACACACATATATACATGTATATACATACATATGTATATCTGCGTTTAAAAAAAAGAACTAAATATATATATATATACAGTACATCTAAATATACGTGTGTGTAGAGGAGTGACTGGTACTTATATATATGCATATATATGTGTATATATATATATATATATATATATATATTACACAAATGTGTATATATATGTATATATATATATAAATATGTGTGTGTGTGTGTAGGGGAGTGACATGGATACTTATGTACAACATGTGAGTTCCTACGACGAAAACCGAGTTCCGTTACGCCATGAGAATGGAACTCTGACATAAGTTGAGGACCTCCTGTAATCTGCAGTAAATAGTAGTAACTAATAGTTTTTGACCAATTAAGTGAACTTTGATCATTTCACATTGCACAGCTGATGATCTCTCATATTTGTGTGTGTAACACCTCTGCCTTTCAGCAATGGAGCAATAACATATATAAAATTGTATTTATAAAATATATAATATATGTTACTAAATGAAAAAATGGCGATAAACAAAATGGTTTGTAAACAAATTTCTACTAAGTGGAGAATTCACGGCGCATGTAAAGGGCAGATAATAAGCCTGCATTTGGAAATCTGTGGGAATGAATTACAGCCTTGTCAACAACTGCTTTTTCTCCTCTCTCGCCATTTTAATGATAAAGAAGCTTTCATGCTTAGCCGGCACAGTATACGAGTTGCAAGTACATTGCTCGTTCTGGCAATTTAATGAATTGATGCCACTGAGAAAGCGAAAGCCCGCAGGCTAATATATGAAACTAATATCAAGTTTGACACAGCGGAACAAGCCCACAGGTAGACCGTGGCCGTGACCAATGCCTGTAGGCTTTTCACCAGCACAGCAACAGCCATAAATCTCTTTTACGGCACTACAATTCTCCGGTCCTCTCTATATCTGTGAATGATGGCTTTATGTGGCCATCCTGTGTCTTTCCCGACCCCCACCGCTCCATCGCCTCATCCCTTCCGCTCTATTACCTGTCAGACATGAAGTAGGGTACAGCATGACGATGCAAAATAGGAGGAAAGGTTCTTGACTTTTCTGCGACCCTTACATTCATGGTCCGTTAGATGGTCACACCCATGGGACATAAATACACAAATAGAGCAAATGCAATGCAATTTGCATGGTAATTTTTTTTTTAAACTTTCTAAAATGCCTTCCCTCCAGAGTCTGTCTCCTCCTCTGCCAACAGGAGAGATGAGAATGTCCCAGTTACAGTAGCAGAGAACTAAAACTCTCACCAACTGGATACATAGCCATAACTAACACTTAATTATGCCTGCCAAAATGTTCTCATCTTTTTCTCCAGGGCAAAGAGCAGAACAAACCAGAAGTCTCTCCGCTGCACATCCAGAACCCGTTTGAAATATCGCTAAATGTCGCCAAGAATGTCAATGCGTCGCAACTCGAGCGCTTCGTGTCCCTGTGTCGGGAGAGCGCCTGGCTCCTTCAGCATGCCCATGACAAATCACCGAGCAGCCTCAGTGGCAGTGGCGGCCCCCAACCCTGGGGACTAGCCACTCTCCTTCAGCCCTCACAGATTGCAGCAATCAAAAGACGCACAAGGACGAGCCAAGGACCTGTTCGTCAGACGTTGAAGAGCTGGGTCGAATCGTTGAAGTAGAATAAAAGAGCCGTGGATGGAGCAGAGACACTTCCTGGAATCTAAAAAAAAAACAAACAACCAAAACCGTCAGGCGGTCATCTTCACAACATGTTTATATCAAGTGAACTGGCGTTTCTATATGATTTGGGCTGTAGTTCCCAACATGAACACTAGAGTGTGATACAGCGGCTGCTTTGAACATACAGTACAAGGGACCCTATAATCAGGGAGTGGTTAGTGACTTCACTGAAGAATCGGACTCTGTGGAAGTTACAATAATGAGTCAAACCAGATGTTGATATAAAAAAAACTGTAGCTGATTTTCATTTTATATCAAATCAGTGTCATTAAAAATACAAAATTGAAGAACTATATATATGTACATATATGTATACATAAATATACTGTATATAGATATACAGTATATACATGTTGTGAGACGTTAGTTTTAATACCAGTAACTGAGGAAACAACTTTATGCACACCACATCTACTTTAACTAAACACCTCTTCAAATACTACTACACCTTGTTGGTGGCCCATTGATCAACATTCTTATTTGACCTGCTGGACAATGAAAAATGTTCGAATTCATTCAGCTGCTGCAGCCGGGGGGGTCAGTGAGAGGATCATCTGCCTCCATTTCACCCTATTTCCTGCCTAATCTACTGTTACACCAATAATCCCCATGTCCTCTATTACCACATCCATAAAACCTCTCTTCTCTTTTGGTCCGTTCCCCGGCATCCTTTGTCCGACATCTTCGCTGTCTCTCATCTGCACTAAAGTAATGTTTTTGAGTCACATAATGAGTACAGTTTTTTTTAAATTATTGATTTTAAATAGTTATAAAAATATTTTGCCCTATATCTTTGGACTACTGTATATCCAACTATATCTTTAGATACAGGGATTCCTCCTCTCGTAGTAGTTGTACTAAACGTCAACATTTCTTCGGTGCAAGTTTAATATGGCACTCTTACTCAAACAGCTTTTGGTACAACGTAATCTAAAAAAAAAAAACCAACACATTGATAAATGTATAGATTTAAGTAAGATGTTAAATAACAGCCATGAAATAACAAAATCAGGTTATAAAATCAAAGCACGAATGCACTGCCAGGTGGAACACACATGGAGGTGGTGGTCAGGGTAGAGTGGATTTTTCATAGCGACTATATATAGGTGTATATATATACATATGTAAATATAGGTATATATATGTAAATATAGTTGTATATATATATAAATATATATATGTAAATATAGGTATATATATATATATACACATACACAGGAGGTCCTTGGTTTACGACGTCCTCGACCTACAGCGTTTCATGGTTACATCCCAATTTCCCATACGTTTATTATCGTTCTATCATTCCGACGTACAGCGTTAAAACTTGTCAACCGTCACAAGGCTTTGTTTACGCTCCCAAGTTTTACTCCACACGTTGGACTGTGCTACATTTGCTTTCTTCCGTTATTTTTTTTTTTTGGGGGGGGAACTTTTTGCCCTTATTGTGGTGATATGGTTATGGTTAATTGGACTAAATTATGATGTTACCACTGTGTTAGCACAGGTTAGTGACATAGATAATTATGTACATTACGTGAATTCCGACATGCGGCCATGTAATTTTGCGCCATAGGAACGGGAGTCTGACGTAGGTCAAGGACACTATACAATATATAATATATACTGTATTATATATATTGAGGACAATATATATATATAAACATATATATATTTATATATATATAGTATATAAATTTAGCTGTTTTGCCACAGAATTATATAATGAGTCAGGGCCGCCTTTAATGAGGAATGTTTAGTTTTCTGTTGATCATATTGGTCAAAATGTGACACAAGCTGCTAAGAAAATGTGCCATTTCTTTTTCTCAAATGTTATGTAATGTAAGCGTACAGTTTGCGATATATATGTGTGGTGGGTGGAGGCAGATTGTGGGGTGAGTGTGCAGGTTCATAGCCTGTGTTTCTTTCTTCTTTTTTCATGTGTTTCACACCCATGGGATTGTGTTTGAGGAACAGGGAGTGTGCGCACAGCTGTTTTTCGGCTTATTGCAACGGGGAGGTCAAGACTTTTAACTGCCTCTCCCTCCCATTACCAGTTCACCCTATATACCATGGGAGATCAGCATGAAAGGGAGGGAAAAGGAGTGAGAGGCCATAACTGCCTCAAAGCCAAGTGGCTTTCAACTTCACCCCCTGGCCCTGACTTCTCCAGCTCCTTTATTTGAATTTACTGTGCCCATCGGGGAGGTGTGCGCTCTATCCAGGTCAAACCCCCCCTCCCACCTGCCCTCCCCCCACCCCCCATTTTCCTTTCCTTTTTCTGAGTGACAGCAATCTGCCAGATACGTAAGGGTTTGTTTATTTCCTTTCACTGCGTTTCTGACTGATGATGCGTGCTGTTAGTGGAGCGACAGAGTGCTTACGAAACGAGGCGGTTAGAGAAGCACTGGGTGGGGAAATCAACACCTCAAGGGAAATGGATCAGAGAGGCCCCCCTTTGGGTTTTGTATGGTTCATTTCAAAGAGTTAAATGTCAGCACTGTGCATGGTCCTATTTGTATCCGGTAGTTTGGAATGCGTCGTGGAGCTTTTTTTTTTCTTTTTTCTTTCTGACACTTTATTGGCAGTTTATGTGACCATTTTGTGGAGATAGGGAAACTGCGGCCACCTCCCAGAAGCTAGCCACAAGTCAGTGTCAAGGTCAATCATATTTTTCCCTCAGCTCATCCTGACTGCTGCTAAGTCAAGTTTTTATGTGATTGTCTCGCAGTTATGGGGCTCTTAAAACTGCAAAGTGACAAGGTTATGTTTGGGTAGCCTGCCCAGCAGTGACCTTCCTCCAGGGTGTTTGCAGGCGGCACACGGTCGGCTCTGATTTATTAGTGTGACTGCTAAAAAGTCCATGATGGATTGACCTGTTGACAGGAAGCCCAGAGGTTGAGTGCTGCAATTGCTTGCGTTTATGTTGCCGTCCCTTTTTTGTTTTTTTCTTGGCTCTTGGAGCTCATCTGAAAAAAAAGAATTGAGGACTTGAAAAACAGCAGAAATGTTAAGGAACTGTTAGAAGCGGTTGTTTCAAATCTGTGACTGTACGTTTGCTACATTTGCTTTTACCGTCATTGAACTGCATTTTTTCGCTTTTGATGCTGAGACCTTATCAGTTGGAACATTTTCAGAAGTTGTTTTATCAGGTCGTCCGATCGTCAACAACTTCTGCTTTCCTTAGACGCCACAAAGCCCTTTAGGCTATGTAGTTAAAAGTAATCTCCAAAACGCTTCCTCTCACAGTTCCACGAATTGTCCCGGCAATATTGTGAGACGTCCGCACACTGGTTTCCTCAGCTGAGGGACAAGCGTCCCCTCTCGGTTGTGACTGCAGGCTCCTCAGTCATCAGCCCTTTCATAGGATGTGTGGAGAGCTGGTGGGAGAGCCCTGGAATGCATCTGCTGCACGTCAAGTCCTCGGAGGTTATCACTGTGTGTATCTGTGCCTGCGGAGTTTCTGCAGTGCGTCTGCAAAGGTGTGAACTGAGTTAAAAACCGTTGTGGCTGAAAGCCTCCCCAATCAAGTGACCCATGTGAAACACTGCAGCTCCTATCTGTGTCTCCACATCTCTCCACAATGGAAACATGAGGTCAACTGTTGGCGACCGACTCAGAAAATGTAGGCAATGTGTCTCTGAGCATGGGAATGCCCGAGACGCTCTGTACCCACCAACAGCAGCATTGTTTCAGGGTAGGATGCGTTGAAGTGTAAATGGAAGCCTGGCACAGAGGGTTGTCAAGTGAAACACTACAGTACAGTGTCAGAAGTGTAGAGGGTCTGAACAACACTGCTTCTTTACACACTGAAACAATTAAAACAGCTGTATAATATATATACATATAAAAATATATTTATCATGTAATATGGAATTGAAGGGAGAACATATATACATATATATATATATATGTGTGTATATATATATATACATATACACACATATATATGTGTATATATATATATGTATATATATATATACACAGCTCGGCACAGCTCGGGAATATCTTGCATCGACTTCGGATTCGGCTTTTGTTTCGCTCTCGTTGACGAGACGTCAACATGAATTTGTGAGAACATGAAATACGTGTAAATAATATAGGACCTTGGAATGTACTATCGATGTAATCCTTAGTCATCAGACGTGAACAAATGAGCAACATCCACCGTAGGATGCAGAGCGTAGGACTGCGGGCAGCCCCTCAAGGAGGATACACTGTAGACAAGGCTGTTCCAAGGTTGTGGGAGTGCAGAGGGGGGCTGAGGATTCAGAGCTGGGGCAGCAGAGATAATAATGTTGGTCATGTGCTGCAGGGTTGATTAGAAACAACCCTTGTTCTTCTCATCCTCGTGAGTCAGATTTCTCCTTTCCTTTTTCTATAAGACCGTAATCTACAGCGTACACCACAGGCTCTTATCAGCCGAGTGGGGGCCTTTCGCGTCATCTGCGGCCTTGGCTTCTTCCACTGGACACAACTGGCCCGAGAAAATACACACTCGTACGGACACACTGGGGTTGTTTCAAGTTCACACTTGGGTTTCGGCTGTTAAGACTGTGTGATAAATGTTGTTTTTTTTTACTAGTAAGGGATACATTTTAGGTTTTGCCCGGGTGATTTTCTTTGCAGACGACACTGCGTAATACGTTCTTTTTATATTTGTAACAGTTTCATTTCAAATTGAAACCGATGAAGTGTGTTGTTGCAAGATGCAGAGAGAGTTTAATGAACAACAATAGCACACCTTGTGCCTCCATGTGGTGTTGCGAGTTGCTGCAGTGCTAAAGGGTCACGTCATCTGAAGTTTTTGACTCTGTGCTATGATTGGCTCTTTGTCAGTAACAGGAATATAAAAAAAAATCAGAGATAATGGAATTAAATTATCGCCTGATAGCAGCAAGACAGCAGACAGAAAACATGCACTGTTGCATTCCAATTTTTTTTTTCCACGAATAGAATCCTTAAACAGGCTAATAACTAGTTCATTCCTAGATTGGGCGGCGGGAAAAACTTTGTACCATGTTTGGCAGATAAGTAGATGACTGTTTGTTGAATTCAGAAAAGGAATGCATAGATACAACTTTTTCATGTTTAATACCCAAACTGTAATACCAATATTAATACGATACCTTCTAACTTCTAATACCAATATTAATACGATACCTTCTTCTTTCCTCCGGCATGCCGCAGGCTTTCGTTGCCGAGGCTATAGCAGTTTTTTCTGGGGACCATTATTCATAAATCACAAAATAAAGGCTGAGGCTATAGCAGGGGACCATTATTCATAAACCACAAAATAAAGGCGTACTTGAGCATTATTGAACATAAATGAGGATGTTTTATTGTTGATCGAGTGATATCTGAACAATTGGTATTGCTCAAGTTTTAAACAACAAAAATCAGTATTTGAACCAGCAAAAAAGGGTTCCATAAGTAGCCTATTTGGACCTTAAATGAAGCCCTTTTCTTTTCAACATAGGCTATAATTATTATACACTATTTCCAAAAAAGTTTAAGGTTGGATGCAGACAGCAGATGCAATGACCCCCAAAAAAATCTCTTGCATCCCACCTGAGGGTCGTGACCCAGTCTTTGGGAAACAATGGGCCATAGTATCCCTGTTTACAACATGTTGCGAAAAGTTAAGTAGAACATTTGAGCTTAGGTATCGGATTGTCCGGGCTATAGTTATGTTATTTGTTGTTTGTTACTGCATTTTGTTTTTAAA